TTGTATTGGAGAGGGAATATTTTGACCCTCCCATATGTATCCCAAGTTTTGTTTTAATCCATTAGTCTAGGAGTATTTTGTATTCATTGCATTGAAGCTTCTAAGCCAACTGTTTCCTCTTCACCGATATCCAAGGCATTTTGATGGGGCACCTGGATGGCTCAAATGGTTAAGCATCTGACTCAGTTTCGACTGAGATCATGACCTCAGGTTTCATGAGTTCAGCCCTATGTCAGGCTCCATGCTGACAGTGCAGAGCCTGCTTGGGATTCTTTCTTTCTCACTCTCTCTGCCCTTCCCCTGCTCATGTGCATGCTCGCTCTCTCTCTCACTCAAAATAAATAGACTTTAATAGAACAACAACACTTGATGATGACGATGATGATGATGATGATGATCACGACATCCAATGCACTTTCAAATGAGAATCACAGCTTTATTTTATTTTATTATTTTATTTTATATTTAATTTCATTTCATCTTTTTTTTTTTTTTAAGGTTCAGTGGACTTTTTAAATTTGAGTACAGCTGACACAGGTTATATCATCTTCACGTGTACAACAAAGTGACTCAGTTAGTCTGTACTCACCACAAGTGTAGCTCCCGTCTGTCACTATAGAATCATTGACTATATTCCCTACACTGTGCCTTTTATTCCCATGACTTATTCATTCCATAACCGCAAGCCTCGATCTCAGATCTCTTCTCCCTTTTACCCATTTGGCCCACCCCCACCCCTCTGGCAATGACTCCTTTGTTCTTCTATTTATAAGCCTGATTCTGCTTTTTATTTGTGTATTCATAGGTTTTGTTTCCTGGGTTCCACATATGAGTGACATCGTATGGTATTTTTTTAAAGTCTACACATGTTGGCGATTCTCTTTCACTGTGTGAGTATTAATTCTGCTTTTCCATTCTCAAAATCGTTTTTGATACTTTTATTTGTTTCTTTTCACTTCTGGTAATTAAATTTGAGGGGAAAATTCTATAGGAACTTAAACTTGGAATTTTTGAGGGCCCTGGGGGGTTCAGTCAGTTAAGTATTCCACTTTTGATTTTGGCTCAGGTCACCATCTCACTGTTCTTGTGAAATTGCGCCCTAAGCCAGGCTCTGTGCTGATAGCTCTAAACCTGCTCGGGATTCTCTCTCTCTCCTTCTCTCTCTGCCCCTCCCTTACACATGCTCTCTCACTCTCTCTCTCTTTTTCTCAAAATAAATAAACTGAAAAATTGTATTAAACTTTGAACTTTCTTGTTAACATGAAACTCTATTCTTTGTGAGCATTATTATTCTATGTAGAAGATACATAGTTTTGTAATCCACCCAGTCAAATACTTATATCTTGGTTATAAATTTTTCTTTTTTTTTCTTTATAACATCCATGCACAAAACCATTTGTACAGAAATTCTGACAAGGTAGCTCAGTTTATAGAGTTCCATGAGATGCTGATAATTTTTTTTTCATAATTTTCTCTGAATTGGCAATAAGTTTCACATAGTACATCTACAGAGTGAAAGTAGGATATTTACCAAAAGGGTGTTTTGGAAGGAATATGCTGGTGAGTGATGAGACAAATTAGTTCCTTGAACCTTGACACTAATGAGGTGGGTGACTTTGGGCAAATCTCAACTCTGGTATGCAATTTAGTTGCCTTGTTGCAACATAAAATGGGTTAAATAAATAGCATTAAAAACTTAATTTTATGCTCACTCTGTCTCATGATTTTCACTGTAATAAGAGTTATAAAGAGGTAGAAAGATTTAGGGTAAAAATACTGCAGTTAACTTCAGACACTTTCCATTTTAGATACATATCATATGTTTTTAGAAATTCCTCACAAAACCTTAAAAGAGAGGTCTCAGAAAAAGACAGAGAAAAAATAAAACATTGTAAATATCTTCCTCCATTGTCTTCTGGGATAAAGCATTAGTGTCAAAAACTTTGATGGATATCTAATATTCTTTCTTGTATAAGTGACTAGGTCTTTTTACTTGGATGCCAAAAGGGTTTTTCTTAATTTTATATAGTCTTTACATACATCTTTTATTAAGGCTGCATAGGGTTAAACTCATTATGTATATGGTATGCATATTTTCATAGTTCTAAGTTGATTTTTATTTTATTTCAAGAAATTTTCTTAAATTATAGTCACAGAGTTTATTATGTATGTTTTTTCCTAATTTTCTTCCAAACCAACCCCTATTAAATGTTTGTTAGATTTTCTTTGTTTATTTTCCACATTGTCGTTTTCTCCTCAAGACTTATTTATCTATACTGTTTTGGGGAAGGGAAGTTTTAACATTTTTGGTCATTTCTGTCTTCTATTTTTAAAGATATTATCTGTATTTAATTTAGTTTTGTGTTTCTTCCAGGTAAGTCTTCATTTTTGAATTATTTTTTAAAAATGGTTTATTGTCAAGCTGGTTTCCATATAACACCCAGTGCTCATCCCCACAAGAGCTCTCCTCCATGCCCATCACCCCCCTTTCCCTCCCCCTCCCCATCAGCCCTCAGTTTGTTCTCAGCATTCAAGAGTCTCTCATGGTTTGCCTCCCTCCCTCTCCCCCACTATTTTTCCTCTTCTTCTCCCCCATGGTCCTCTGTTAAGTTCCTCCTAATCCTCCTATATGTGCAAGCATATGATGTCTATTCTTCTCTGCCTGACTTATTTCACTCAACATAATACCCTCAAGTTCCATCTATGTTGCTACACATGACCAGACTTCATTCTTTCTCACTGCCATGTAGTATTCCATTGTATAGATGAACCACATCTTCTTGATCCATTCATCTGTTGATGGACACTTAGGCTCTTTCCATGTTTTGGCCATTGTTGAGAGTGCTGCTATGAACATTGGGGTACATGTGCCCCTATGCGTCAGCACTCCTGTATCCCTTGGGTAAATTCCTAACAGTGCCACTGCTGGGTCATAGGAGAGTTCTATTGTTAATTTTTTCAGGAATCTCCACACTGTTTTCAAGAGGGGAAAGATAGTGGCAAATGACATATCAGATAAAGGCCTAGTATCCAAAATCTATAAGGAACTCACCAAACTCCACACCCGAAAAACATTTTTGAATTATTTTTAAATTTTTAAAATTATTCTGAGTCATAACCTCTTTTTCCAAATCTTCTTTTCCACGAATCACATAACTGCTGAAATTTATCTACTTTTAACGCATGGTTTCTTTTATAACTTCTATCACTTTCTCAAAATCTTTAAGGTTTTTAAAAATATTAGTTTACAGATTTTTATCTGCTTCCTAGAGATGGATTTTGGCAGGATTTCATTATCTGCACTGACTTTATTCTGCTCCTTAAACTATTTTTTCTTATAATAACGTCATATATAACTCTCTTCTGTTCCTTGTTTTTACACAATATGAGTCTTCCTGTACTTTTTGAAGGATGGTGGTGAAAGACAGTTTTTTTAAGCTTCACCACTCTAGAATTCTGTGTTGTTGTTACTGCTGTTTTTGTTTTGATGTGTGAAAACATATGGCTTCAAACTTTTTGATAACTACACTCAAAAAATGTTTTTTGAGGTTCTCTTTTCTTTGTTTCTCTTTTGCCTGTTTTGCTCAATTCATCTTCCCTTAAAACAGGTAGTTCACTGTGTAGGGCTTCATCCTACAGCAGAGGTTTGGCCCCTCCACTGATGGAGTTTGCAAGACTCAGAGATTACAGACCTTCACTGAGGTTCCTGCACTTTCACTGGTAAGCTGGAGTTTATAGAAGCACTCCCAGTTTGGGTCGCTACTCTCACACTTTCCAGTGAATACCTTTGGTGGACTCAGTGAGGTACTGACCACATCCCCTTTCAGGAATGGAAGATTGATTCTTGCATATGTTAAGAGTATTGCCAGAGAGGACCCTTCCTTAATTGTCAGCCCTCTGTGAGTATTGCCATATGGGGAAAAATCTGTTTCTCCAAAGATCATACTACCTTGTAAGATTCACGGGTCAATGACTGATCAATGTGAAAGTATGATAATGTCCAGGAAGGGGTACCTGGGTGACTCAGTTGGTTAAACTTGAGATTCTTGATTTTGGCTCAGGTCATGATCTCATGGTTCCTGAGTTCGAGGCCCCCAATGAGCTCTGCACTGACAAGGTAGATCCTACTTGGGATTTTCTCTTTCTCTCTCTCTCTCTGTCCCTCCCCACATGTTCTAAATAAATAAATAAACAAATTAAAAAAAAATAACATCCAGGCAGCCCAATCTTGGGACAAAGCTGATGGTCCATTTGAACCTCAGAGCTTCCCAGGAGATAGGCTGAAGACAGATGCTGGCATCACAGAGGACTCAGAGATGTTGGTAGGTCTTTCCTACCTGCTTTTATTTTTGAGGTTTTTGGACATATCTAATCAGCTGGTTTTATTGTAGAAACTGTCTGTTGTTTTTCACTGTAGTATCCCAGTTTCTCTCTTTGTTTATTTAGGAATGGTTAGAGTTGGATTCTAGGAGATTCAAAATCTCATTGTTTGCACTAGTATATTTCCCCAGTATTTTCTCCTGTCACACAGTTTGAAAATATTATCACAAACAGAAGGATGGAAATGAAGTGGTAGCTTGAGGGGAAGCGGAGCCAGAAGAGACATTTTCGGGTAAGAGATTACCATGAACGATATCCCTTAATTTAATACTACATTGGATGCTAAGGGAATAATGTGGGAAGTTCATTGAATATTCTGTCATGAGACCTGAGTTCAAGTCCTGGTTTTGCCAGGTGCCTTGTAACCTGAATTAATCGCTGATTCCAATGAAATATCAGTTTCAGTATCTGAAAAATACAAACACCTTCCCCGACTGTATCACAGGAGCGTTGTGAGACCAGGAAGGCAGTGTTTCACGTAAAGGCTCCAAATGAGCATGAAGCAAGTTAAGAGAAGATTTGTATCTGAAAGCCTTGCAGGATGGGCACCACTTGACAAATTCAGCGATGGATGCAATGGACACAGGGCCAATAAACCACAAGAGACTAACTGGCAAGTGTTAAGTCCAGCAACACAATTTATCAAGCAATTCCAAGTGGGATAAATGAACATCCCTTGGATTTTTTTCAGTGTCAGCATCAAAACTTCCAAAGGGTTCAAACACAGGTTGCACAGGGGTTATTCCATGGCAAGCACAGCTGGCTGATGCCTTTGATTTCAGAATGCAAATGTGTTTGCTTTGGCAAAGGAAAAGAAGATGAATGAAGGGCAGAAACAAAAGATCCCAATTTTTCTGCAAATCTTTCAGGGAACTTGCAACAATGAAGACTTTCTCTCCTGGGGAGCCAAGGTTTCTAGGAGGAAATATGAATAGAAAAACGAAAGGAATGGAGAAAATAACATAAGTTAAAATAACCTCAGGGCTCTGAGCTATGTCCTCATTCTTGGCTCTATTTTATATCTTAATTGTTGTTGTTTTTATTTCTATTTTTTTCATAGCAAGTTTTCTGGGGAAAGACACAGATTTTTACAATGGAAGCACTCAATCAATATTCACTGCAGAGCATTTGACTCCAAACATGTTTGTGTATTAATTGTGCAAATTTTTTTTTTTTTAAAGAGCTATTGTCATATAACCAAAAGCAGGATCTGAGAGCAAAAGAGATCATTTTACTAAGGAATATTGGCAAAAAATCATACAGAAAGAACTTCAAATCATGGGATTTGGCATTCTAGAAATATATATGATTTCTGGCCATTATTTGGACTTACACTAGATTGAATGATCCAATGATTTTGAAGATCCATATAGATATTCTCATTTTTAAACATTTTTGTGATGCTATAATCTTCTACCCCAGCAGGACCATCAATGTAAGCCACAATAGATCTGAAATAACAAGGTGCTGCAGGTAGCTAAGACAACCATAGCTGGGAGTAAGATATAAGAGTTGAGATACAAAAACAGCATCTGTGGCTTGTTAGAAATGCTGTGTCCACAAGATGTAACAAACAAAAGTTCCTTTTCTCATAAAAAGTCACAGAGAGAGACACAATGTCACTGACGGTGGGGAAGATAGAAATATGACCATTCCAAAGGGCTAAGATTTTCATCTCTTTTTTCATTTCCAAGAATACCAAATGTTGAACGTGGGTTATAGAGTAAAAGAAGCAACTTGGAACATGGAACTGAGGGCATGTGATAGAAGGAATGTAGGTAGGTCATAAAAGGACTCAAAGAACCAGTGGAAGGGCCTCCATGGAGAAAGCATGGGAAAAACAAGGTCCCAAGGAACATAAACTCATCAGAGACCTGCTTTAGATGATCTTGAGTTCAGTTGTTTAGACTGTGCCAGGAAAAAAAAAAATCACAAACCTGACACTAACCAAAAAAATAAAATAAAATAAAAAGTCTTAAGGTTCATACCAAAGATATATTGTCAGTGATTAGCTTGGAATTCTGTGGGAACAAATAAATCCCTGAAGACCAGAGTCAGGCAAATATTGTTTAATTTATAAAAAAGAAGACTAAGATTAGATACAAGATATATAAAAGCTAGTTATTTGACACCAGAATTTAACATAATGTTTATCACAGAGAATTCATCAGAAAAAAAAAAAAAAAGTTGAGTGATTAAATGAATAAATTGCTAGGTAAAAGTCAAGAATCAATGAAAAAACAAAAACCGAAAACGGCACTGGTTCATGGAAAATGAGTCCAGGCACAGTAACCTTACCATTTTTGACAGGATTGTTAGATTCAGAAATAAATGCATATTTCTTTTACCTGGATTTGGCAAAAATCTCATGGTCCCGTTGTGCCCAAAATATAGAAACATCGGTTATATGACAGTACAATAATTTAGTTCAAAGGTGATTGCAGAAAGCCTAACTAAATAATTAATGAATCAATGTCAAGCTCTACAAAGGTCTCTACTTATGCCTCTGAGGATCTTGTTTTTCCTATGATATTCAACATTTTAATTAAACACTGATCTGATTACAGGCACATGGATAGTAGTAGATAATAGGCAATAGGAAGTGTTAACTGTCTTGAGTGGTTGAATCAAAGTTCTCCAAGATCTTGACAGTGTCTTGTAATTTTTTGGCTTACATGGATGATTTTTCTTTTTAAGGAGCATGGATAGTCCCTCGTTTTTTTTTGTTTGTTTTTTTGTTTTTTGTTTTTTATGGAATGATGGAGATAAGCTTAAGAAGTCAGCTATTTGCTATATTTTCTCCTGCTTCACCTTCCTTTTTTGAAATGGTAATATCCAAATTTAATATCCCAGTCTGAAGTATCTTGCCTCAAGACTGGACCCTAAAATTTAGATTTCCCCTTGGATCATATCATATATTTTCATTTTGCTCATTTTTCCATTCATCTTTTCACTAATTCATGTAACATTAACCAAGTACCAAATTTGTGTTGGAAAGAGTTAAATTAATAAGGTAGTTCTTGTCCTTCAGAAGATCGTAATTGATAAGGATGGACACCCAAAGATGTTAATAAGTAATTATAACATAACATGATGAGTTAAAGGAGAGAGGTAAACATGGAAGTTATGGGAAACAAGGAACAGAAAGTGGGAGATACTGGGGGGAAAAACCACAGATGTAGATGCAAAAGTTTCTCACAAATGTTAAAATTAAATCAAAAACTAAAAACACAACAAACAATTAGTAAAAATTAGAGGCAGAAGTGGGGGGTTATGATTTTATGGTTGCATAAAAAGGCATCCCATTCTCCTCCTCTTCTGCCTTCTTCACAAACCACTTAAACTTGCAGGCTACAGACCCAAAATCTTGGCCAGCACTCTCTCTAGTGGTGGTCCTATGAACTACCCCTCTACTGTTTTCTAAATTGCAAGAACATGAATAAGATCATACAAATCAAAACCATACTGAGATACCAGCTCACTCTGGTCAGAGTGGCTAAAATGAACAAATCAGGAGACTCTAGATGCTGGCGAGGATGTGGAGAAACGGGCACTCTCCTACACTGTTGGTGGGAATGTAAACTGGTGCAGCCCCTCTGGAAAACAGTGTGGAGGTTCCTCAAAAAATTAACAGTAGAAGTCCCCTATAAGCCAGCAGTAGCACTGCTAGGAATTTACCCAAAGGATACAGGAGTGCTGATGCATAGGGGCACATGTACCCCAATGTTCATAGCAGCACTCTCAACAATAGCCAAAACATGGAAAGAGCCTAAGTGTCCATCAACAGATGAATGGATCAAGAAGATGTGGTTTATCTGTACGATGGAATACTACATGGCAATGAGAAAGAATGAAATCTGGCCACGTGTAGCAACATAGATGGAACTTGAGGGTATTATGCTGAGCGAAATAAGTCAGGCAGGGAAGGACAAATACCATATGTTTGCACATATAGGCAGATTAGGAGGAAGTTAACAGAGAATGAAGCAGGAGAAGAAGAGGAAAAACAGTTGGGGAGAGGGAGGGAGGCAAACCATGAGAGACTCTTGAATGCTGAGAACAAACTGAGGGCTGAGGGGTGGGGTGGGGTGGGGGAGAGGGGAAGGGGGTGATGGGCACGGAGAGGGGCACTTGTTGGGATGAGCACTGGGTGTTATATGTAAACCAACTTGACAATAAACTATATATATCTATATATAAAAAAAGAACATGCACACGTGAAGATACCCAGGACATAAACAAGTAGGTGATTGTTGAATCTGAGTAAGAATAAGTACTTTAACACTATGGAAATATATTCTTCAAGTAAGTCCAATGAATAAAAAATTGTATCAATGAGATTTCTCCAACCAAAAACAAACTTACAGAGATATTTGGAACCCTAGAAATTCACACAAAAGTAGAGGATCTGACAAAGGAGAAGTCTGATTTGATTCCCAGCTAATTTACTAATTCTGGAGAGTGATAAGTCATTTCAAAAATCTGTACCTTCGTTTCCTTAACATAGTTGTGTTGACTGTATGCCTCAGTTGGCCTGGGACTGTTTTGGTTTATGTCTGTTGTCCTAGGTAATTGTGAATAGTGTCTTATTTCACTTCCTAAAGAGCTCCATTTGTGTTATAAATTACATAGTCACCCTTATTCCATGATCTAAAGGTAATGTTCCTTTACCTTTATGGGGAGAATGACATGAGCCTATGGGGAGAATGACATGAGCCTGGTGGAAAGGAAGTATAGTGATGACTTAGGTGCTTGATTTTTGCTTAGTGTGTTTTTACACTGAAACTGTCCCTTTAGGGATAGTCTCTCACTAATGACTGATGAATGTTTCTTTCTGTCTTCACTGCGTCACATTAGGAATGAATGGAAAGAGTGTGGGCTGTGAGTCTTCTCAAAAACTTAATAAAGTAAGCTTTACCCAGGAAATAGGAAAGCCCCTCCTGAATCACATATTTCGGTGTAAACCATGGCCTCTTCGAATATTTTTTTTAATTACATCTTTCCAACAACCGGGAAACACAGATATTTCCACTAAAATCTGAAGTGACATGGAGAAGGAAATAAAAACAGGATAATGAAGACCCTGTATTTTAGGTTTGTGTGAAGCTGGGCTTCCCCACAGCTGCACATTCAGTTCTTCTAAAAACACAAATATGAAACAACCTTTCTAATAATGAATGACTAGTGGAGTAAATTATAGAGCATCCGTACAATGGGACGCGTTGCAGTCACTAAAAATGATGGTACGGAGCTGTATTTATTGACATGGAAAATTGCTCATAGCATATTATCAACTGAACAACACAGTTGCTGAGAAGCAGGTGCAATATTATTGTAAAATTATGTAATATATAGTTTAGGTGTTTATGTGAATATAGAAATGTCTGAAATGCTCATCAAAATATTAATAGTGGTTATCTCTGGGTGGAGTGGTTTCAGTGGGCTTTTACCTCCTTTCCATTTTTTTTTTAAAGTGGTGAGTATATTCCCTCTTAGTAAAAACAAAATATGTGCTTTACATGAAATTATGAAAGAAATCTCTCTTAAAAGTTGGAATGGCCGGTATGCAGATGATGAGAAGAAGTATTGACATAAAATAGGTAAATAACTAAACCTACACAGAACTACAGCTCTTTCCTCCATCAGCATTGGGCCTTCTTGTAGTCCTAGTTTTTACGACACCCATACCCCCGACAAAGAAGCAGACAGGATACCCTAAACATTAACACCACAGCTCCTGTGGATATCAGCCTCGAAGATGACCCACATGGCCCCTGGCTTCTTGGTAGGAATGTCCTGTTCGGCTGAGGATGGGCTGGACATAGTGAGTAGAATAGAATGAGCTTAAAGCGATGAGACCAGGTCATCAAAAGCAGCATGGGATTGCCTTCTATCTCTCTGTATCACTCACTGTG